ACACACACACACACACACACACACACACACACACACACACACACATACACGTGTACATTACACGTTCACACACTATTACAGTCTTGCCTGTGCGCTGTTGATGCAGAATAACTGTTTCCAAGTATACTCGGCCAGTCCCGGCAGATTTCCCTCGTCATTGATGCCATTCCTTGATAGCCAGTTTTCATAGGCCTGTAGAGAAACGGGAAGCCGCTATGCGCACAGTAATTATGTACAAGTGCCCTCTTCAGGGTATAGCGTTTGCAGAGCCATAGGCTGAGTAAATGCCTAGCGGGTCCAAAGTTTTCAAGAAACAAATCACATTGCAGGATAGGCATAGGGTTAGGCCTGAAGGGGATCATTGTAATTTGTACCTAAATGTTTTTTGTGTGTAAATTGTAATTTTGTGCCATTGTTTATTAAATTTGCTTTTGTGGTTACTCACAACAAATACCTAAGTTTATATTTTATTTTGCTTCAAAGTCTCTGGCGGGTGCGTCGCCCCGTTGCCCGTCAAGAGGCTACGGCTCTGTTAGCATAGGGACATGCAATGGCGGGAAATGTAATCCTGAGTTTGGGTTTCACCATGCTCATCTCCTTCGGCCATGACCCTGTCATTTCTAAGAGCGTAAGATTGGCCCGAAAAGCATTATTTTAGGTGGCTAAAAGCGACGAGCGACTCGCGCGCCATTGCTCATGTCTTAGCATAGCGACAGGGAATGGCGGGGACTGGCGGGATGCTGCCGCCGAAGCAAAATTCTGGGATCAGATTAAGCTATGCACATCTCCTTTGACCGTCCTTGTCTTTTTTAAGAGCGTAAGATCGGCCGAAAAGCACTGCCTCGGGTGGCGAAAGCTATGAGCGGCCCTCGCGCCATTGCTCATGTACTTTAGCCAGGGGTGTAGGCTGAGCAAATATCTTGGGGGACAGGCGGTGCGTCATTACCAAAGTTACAATTACGGTGCCTCTTTCATGGTTGTGTTGCTTGAGTAATATGCTATGCTCATTAGGCGATACCACACAGTGATATCCACTCTACCTGTGTCATTCTTTATGGATACCTGAAGGCCATAACACAGCCCTCATCTACCAGAGTCATTATGTATATAGTCCTATATAACCTGAAGGTCATATACGACGCACTCATCCACTACCTGCGTCATTCTCTATAGATACATGTAGACTACGACGCAGTCATCCGCTTTCTGCGTCATTTTTTATAAATACATGTAGACTGTGACAAAATCCTCACTATCTGCGTCACAGATACCTGTAGACTATGACGCAGTACCCGTCTATCTGCGTCATTCTCTATAGATACCTGCAGGCTGTGACGCAGCCATTCACTACTTACGTCATTCTCTATAGATACCTGCAGGCTGTGACGCAGCCCCCCACTATCTGTGTCATTCTCTATATATATCTCTAGGCTATGTCGCGGTCCCCCACTATCTGCGTCATTCTTTATAAATACCTGCATGCTATGACGCAGCCCTCCACTATCTGCGTCATTCTCTATAGATACCTCTAGGCTGTGACGCAACCATTCACTATCTGCGTCATTCTTTATAAATACATCTAGGCTATGACGCAGCAATTCACTACATGCGTCATTGTTTATACATACCTGCAGGCTATGACGCAGTCCCCCGCTATCTGCAATGCTCTCTCCTTGTGTGCGTGTTCCATTCACCTAAAATACGGAAAACGTACAAAGAATGGAAAAACCTTCCTACAGGAAGTATACACGAAATGTCTATCTAACTGTCTATCTATCTATCTATCTATCTATCTATCTATCTATCTATCTATCTATCTATCTATC